GGTTGAACCGAGACGCCAGAAGATCCACCTCCAGCGACCCCCAGCGAAGACAGAGCTGCTGAAAACTCCCGGGTGCAGTGACCACTCTCCCGGGTCCACCGACCCTCGACGGAGGTAGTTGACCAGCCAAATTGCCCACCCCCGGGATGTAATCCCCAGGAGAGAAACCTGAACACCTCCCGACCTGGGGGTTAAGGTATGCCAGCCCGGTGGCGTCGTCCGGCCGGACCCAAACTGCCTGACCCTGAAGCCGGGCCGACCAATGAAGGAGATAAAGAGCGAATCGCCCGAAGTTCCAACACAGTTGGCAACAGACGGAGCTCCTCCAGCGACCAACGACGCTGCACGGCCACTAATGGACGACCACCGGCGAGACCGCAGCAGCCGTACTCTGGAACGAAGGTGCAGGAGCTTGTCCCGAAGGAGAAAAAAAAAACCCGGGTCGCGACAGTGTCCAGAAGTCCAGTCCCAGATACTCCAGGCGTGGAAAAGGCACCAGGCAATACTTTCGGAGGTTCAGGAGCCACCCGAACTCCTCCAAGGACTGTTCCGGGACCTCCAGAGCCACCAGAGAGGAGTGCGACTCCGCCCGCAGAAGCAGATCGTCCAGATAGCCTACGATCGAAACCCCCCGACAACGCAACAGCACCAGAATCAGGGCAAGCACCTCGGTGAACACCCGCGGAGCAGGCGCCAGCCCGAAAGGCAGCGCCACCAAATGAATATGCCACCGCGAAACGGAGATATCTCTGATGAGACGCGTAAAAAGGGTACATGAGGGTAGGCATCCTTGATGTTGATGGATGCCAGCAGGCCTACCCGACGAAGTCAGACCACCACGGATCTTATCGACGCCAACCGGAACCGATGGACCCTCATAAAGGCGTTCAAGCGGTTGAGGTCCAGGAAGGGCCGAACCCCCTCCATCTTGGGCACGGTAAACAGGTACAAATAAAACCCTTGGAACCTTTCCAAGGACGGAACCGGCACGATCACCCCCTGGCAGCAAAGGGTCCGCCACAGCTCGACGGAGATCCGCCAACCGCGAAGGAGAGTCGCGTGTCGGACGGGAAGAACCGGTCCCTGGACGGGACAGAAATTTCATCTTGTAGCCCGAAGAAACCAGCCCCCGCACCCAAGTGTGGGAGACGTGGGCCAACCAAGTGTGGGAGACGTGGGCTCTGGTTCACGTGGGTGAACCAGAGC